GCTTTCTCACTTTCCCTCTCTCTCTCTCACTCTGTCCCTCTCTGGTCAAATAAAATAAAAAATAAAAAATAAATAAATAAATAAATAAATAAAAAATAATAAGGCAGATTAAATTAATGTAAAAAAGAAATCATAAAATGAAAAAGTAGTAACAATAAAGAAGTATATGCGTATGCCGCCATGGGGCTGGAGGGCTTGCCCCTGGCCGGCCCGGGTGTCCTGCCCCTGCAGTGCCCACCCGGGGGAGCGACCCACCTTCGGGCATGGTCCTGGCACTGATGTACACAGCCACGCTGCACCTCTCCTCGGGGACATCTTGATTGCAGGCCTGCAGTTCGATGCGGTACCCAGTGAAGTGACGCAGGCCCGAGATAACCAGCGACTCCTTGTTCACCACTTTCTCGAAGGGCCTGTGCTCCTCGGGGCTCGTGGGCACGCTGGTTGAGGAGGTGTTGGGGAATCCCGGGACTGTGGGGATGGCCACCGTCACATTCCCCACGTCACCAAGGGACCTGCGTTTCCGTGACGGCCTGTAATGACATAGCATAGGAGTGGTCACACAATCACCATCTAACAGACAAACAGAGGCCGGAGACTGTGACGCCGAATTAATTAAAGGGCGGGGATGCTGCGGGGTGCACGGAGCACATGGATTAAAATGCAGGCTGCCAGGAATCACCGCCCACCGCAGCTTCCCACACGCTCTTGTAAGCAACACTGATCATCAGGCCAGGCCCATTCCTTGAGGGATTAGAACTCCAGGACCATCAGCAGCAGGTGCACCAAGATTCCCGTCGGCATGCTCGATTTCAGGTTTTCATGTTGCAGATTAATAGGTCCCACGAGATTAGAGATGAAATGCCCAAGGTGTGTAAGAGTCTGACTTTTCCGGAAACCCTGCCCAATGGCATCCGCCCGACAAACTAAGGACCAACATCATCCATTTTTTTTTTTATGGAATATATTTTTTCTACACATTTCTGGTTAATTCCTAACTGTTGTACCTCTTAGTGGAATGCTGGGTGGGTTTTCAAAGCATGCATCTAGTGTGTCATCTCACCACACATGCAACTTCTTCAACATGGAACATCACATCATATCCTTCCTACATTCGGTAATAGTTCTACTAATTTTGGGGAGGGAGATACACGACATTCAATGTCAACGACATTCTTACTCTGTTGTGGTCCACGGTGTCTTAACCTATTTCATTTGTTAATATGTATCCTTGAGTCTGTTCCTTTTCTCTAGCTTCTCCCCCCACCCACCCACCCCATGGAAATTCTGGTGTCTCACCCTTACTCTATGTATTTCTAGGGCACAGAATACGGACATGTGGTATATGAGAAATGGGGAAATACAGTATTGGTCTTCCATAGCCTGGCTTATCTCACTGCACATGCTGAGTAGATCTGTTTGATGTTCACTTTGTATCCGTTTAAACAGAAGAAACATCTTTGGGGCTGGCAGGTGGCGTGGCAGTTCAAGGTGTTGGACTCCCACATGGCTGACCTCAGTTCAAGTCCTAGACCTGGCAGCTCACTTTCTCTCTCACTCTCTCTCTCACTCTATCCCTCAATGGTCAAATAAAAATAAACAAATAAATGGATAAAGATAAACAAAATAATTAAAGAAAATTTAAAAAAAAAAAGAAGAAGAAGAAGAAACACATCTTCTGTCCTTAGGACTGTTGAGAACACCAGTGTAATGAGAACAATGAAGACTCAGTTCTTTGTGAAGGAATCTTATCCCTCAGGGGAACAAGAGTAACCCTAAGAAATATCTAAGCAATTGCTACACTTTTCTCAATCCCTTCAAAAAATATTAAGAGGGGCCCGGGCATGTGGCACAGTGGTTAAGCGCTGTATTGGGAGCTGGGTCCCATATGGCCAGCTACACAATTTAAGTACCATACTGGGTGCATGTGTGCATCCCCAAAATCCCAAAAGGTGGGAGAAATGGAGAGGGGATTGAGATGTGACCGTGAGCTGTAAAGGATGCTTTTTCACTTTTCTTTCTCTTTGTCTCTGTCTCTCTTTCAGATGAGCACACATACCCTCTGGCACATCCAAAAAAAAAAAGTCATATCTTAAGTAGGACAGGATTTCAGGGTTGTTGTTTTTTTTTTCAAAGTAGCGTCTCCCCCCAATTATACAGATGGCACATGCTCCTTGCAAAAAACTTGGAAAACTCTAAATGGCTGTAAAATATTCCATAAAATGCCCCCTTTCACTTGACCACCTTCCTAGTTTTAAAATACTCATATTCCCAGGTTTTTTACACTATTATAAATATTGCTTCGATCATTGCCAAATTGTCTTTTTTTTTTTTTAAGGTTTTTGCCATAAGGCATGTACACTCACCAGACAGAAAAAGAGAGAGAGAGAGAGACAGTGAGACATCACCCCTGCGGTAGCCACGCTGCGATCCTTTCTCCCCCACTCTCCTCCTGGGATTTTGGAAACACACACACACTCACACACACACACACACACACACAGCCAGTGTGATTTTTTAAGCTGCCGGACTGGAGATATGAATTGCATTTGGCCATGTGAGATCCAGCAACTTGACCACCACGCCACCTGCTGGCCTCATCAGACTGTCTTCCTAGATCCCCAAAGTAGATTCCTAGAATAAACATCACGTTTAATGGGAATATAAATCCACTTCAGCTTCTTCATCCATACACAAGGGGTCTTCACAAAGTTCATGAGCAATGTGTACAATGAAAAAACTACACATGGATTTCAATGTTTTTTTTTTATACCAGTGTAGACTCGTGCTTTAATTCCAATTTTCCATTTTGCTGATGCTCTCTCTGATGGCTACATGGTTATGAGGAAACTTTCCATCGACCTGTGGTCTAATCAGTAGTCCATGAGACGATGCCTCAAGATAACGTCACCAACCGTGAGGGTCAAAGATTATTTCTTTGTTTGTTTTTGTTATATTTTTCCAGATTTTCCACCCAAGAGATGAACAACACGCCACCCGCAGCCTGCTTTAGCTGCAGATCGTTAGACAGCCAAACGTGAGCTCTCTTCTCTGTTACTGGTTCTCGGCATTTCTCCAGGGGACTGTCCCTCCTTGTCCTCTGCTCATGTTTCCGTGAACTTCCAGGGCTTTCCTCATTGCTACTCCTGCTTTGTTTACTCACTAAGGCCATTAACCCTGGCTCTCTCGTGTTGTACAGTTTATTTCAGCTTGCTAGAGAGCTTTCTTCACACAATTTGAAACATGGTCTTGCACACTCACTTGTCAAATTTCATATGCCGGTAATTTTTTTTAAATTTCCTTTATGGGTAATCATAGATGGAGTTATTAAAAGAAATATTGAGACCAGCAGTTAGCATAATGGCTATGTCACTGGATTCCCATGTAGTCAACCATAGTTCGAGTCCCGGACCTGGCAGCTTAAAACTCATGCCAGGCATGTGTGTGTGTGTGCCAAGATCCCGAGAGGAGCATGGAGGAGAAGGGATTGTGGCATGGCCATCTCCCCAGGGGTGATTTCTCGCTTTCTGTCTCTCTGCCTCTCTCTGTTTTTCTGGAGAGGGCATGCGCTCTATAGCAAAAATCTCTCTCTGAAAAAAGAAAAAAAAAAAGAGGAATATTAAGGTTGTATGGAAATTGTGAAAGGGACCTTCTCCCCATCTTAGATTTTCATGGTGGCTAGTACATCTCCTTCTTATTTATATTATATCTATTTTCTCAAACTTGCCTTCATTCTAAAAACGTCAGTTGATTTTCTTGCGTTTCAAGGAACACACAAGAAAAGAGGTTAGCAAACTTTCCCATAAAGGTCTAGATAGTAAATATTGTGGGTTTTGTGGGCCATGTGGTTTCTGCTACTACTGCTTAATTCTACCATTCCAGCTTGAAAGCGGCCGTAGACAATATTTAAACGATGTAGGTTGGCTGTATTCCAATAAAAGTCGATTTACAAAAACAACTGGCCCAGGGCCATAGTTGGCCTCTCCCCTGCACTAGACTTTCTGCAAATATCAAAGACTTTAGGGCCAGAAGATGGCATAGTGGTAAAAGCAATGAATCTCACATGGCCGAATGCATGGTTCGAGTCCTGCATCTGGCAGATTGTAAGTCACACCGGGCGTGTGTGTGTGTGTGTGTGTGTGCACCCAAAATCCTGAAAGGAGAATAGAGAAGGGATTGTGGCGTGGCCATCCCCCCTGGGGGGTGATTTCTCACTTTCCCTCTCTCTGTGTCTCTGTCTCTCTCTGGCAAGCGCACATACTCTATGACAAAAAAAAAATCTAAAAATTAATTAATTAATTAATTAAAATAATATAAATAAATAAATAAAAATAACAAATTTCCCACAGTCTGTCCATCACAATTCTAATTTCTGTCTCATGTCTTATTCTAACAGTGTCACATCAGATGAGGGGTTTCAACAAGGGCCCCTTTTGCTCCCACCTTTCGGGGCCACATGGCCATGTCTGAAGATATTTGGGGTGGTCACAACTTTGGGGGTGGGGAGAGTGCTACTGGTGTCGAGAAGAGAGAAACCGGAGGTGCTGTTCCACATCCTCCAGGGCATAGGACAGTCCCTCCCTGGAGAGGGATCCAGCCTCCCACAGCTACAGGACTGAGATGCAGACACCTGTAGGTGCCCACGGCCACCAAGTTCTAAGCCACGCTTTACTAGAAATGATATTCCAAATGGCCACTAGAGGGCAGACCAGCTCACATATGAGCCTGGAAGAAGAAAGAGCCAAAGAACTTCCCTGAAGCGGCCCCAGCCTGCCCGCCCAGTCTGGCCTCCTGTTCCTCCCAACTCCTGGCCTTCCCGAGCTCTCCGGGCACATCCGACCCTGTGGAACCACTCGCTGTACGCTGACCCACAAGTCTGGGGGAGACGTCCCTATTCTCTGGGTGACACTTGGGGGCACGGTCTCCCTGCATTCACACGGGGTCTTCCCAGATACACGCTTTCTAGAACAGACATTGACATTCAATAGGGTGCTCTCTCTCTCCAGAATGTCTCTAAAACTTGAGAAAAGAGGGGACCAGCAGGTGGCATGGGTGTTAAGGCGCTGGACACTCCCACATGGCCAACCATGGTTCGAGACTCGGACCTGGCAGCTTGCTTTCTCTGTGTGTGTGTGTGTGTGTGTGTGTGTGTGTATCTGGTCAAATTAAAATGAATGAATAAATAAATAAAATTAAATAAATAATTACTTAAAAAATAAAACCTGAGAAACCAGGACCCGCTGGTTAGCGCAGTGGTTAGGGCAGCCAGATCCCAACAGCCGATGGTGCATTCAAGTCCCGGACCCGGTGGCTTGAGAAATACCCCAGGCGCATGTGTGTGCGTGCCCAAAACCCCAAGAGCCAAGAGGAGGGAGTAATGGAGAAGGGATTGCAGCGTGACCATTCCCCATGGGGGGGGGGGAGCTTTGTCACCTGCCTTCTCTCTCTGTCTCTGTCTCTCTCCAGTGAGTACACATGACCGCTGGCAAAATTTAAAAATTAAAAACTCATTCTGCAGCAAGGGCCATCTTCCCCACAGAGGAGGAGCTGGTGTGGCGCGGGGCTGAGACTCAGCACCAGGTACAGGCAGCGCCGTGCGGGCACACAGGAGTGTGGATAGCTACTTGGTGAGGGGACACGCGGGGACACTGAGCCACGGAGGAGGTGCTGTGACCCTGCGTGTCATGGCGAGTATGTTAGTGAAGACCTCCCCACACTCGTGCCCAGAGCCCACATCAGCGTCAAGACGCTTCCTGTGCGGGTTTCTGCCGTGTCCTGTCTCAGCACGGCCACCTGTCACATGCAACAAGCCCCAGCAGCCCCAGGGTCCTCGAGGTGTCCGGCTCGCCCCTGCCCCGCCTGGTCCACCGGCCCTGCCCTGAGCAGGCACAAGGGGCCACACGGACCCCCCACAGGTGAGTCGTACCTAGTGTCCTCGGCCCCAGTGCCTGGCGAGGTTTTTCTGTGAAAACAAAACGAACCACTTTGAGGACAGATGGAACCTGGACAGACGCATCGTGGGAGTCTCACACTCCACAGGCCACGTTCTGTCCCAGCGAGAACACCCTGTCCCTGACCGCTGGCTGCTGCTCCCACCACTCGCAGTCAGGTGCGATTCACTCTTCCCGGCAGGTGTGGGGAGCCCAGCAGGAGGGGGAAGGGCAGAGAAAACAAGCTCCCACAGGCCTGGCCTTCGGGGAGGTCCCTGGAACATCAAATTGGACATCACAACCAACGGAACCCTTTCGCCGAGCTCCAAAGCATTTGCCTGTTGTGATGGTGTTGGTAGTTTTTGGTTTTTGGTTTTTGTTTCAGAGAGGTTTTTGCTATAGGGTGCGTGCACTCGCCAGACAGAGACAGAGAGACAGAAAGCGAGGCATCACTCCCCAGGGGGGATGGCCACACTGCAATCCCTTCTCCTCCATTCTCCTCTCGGGATCTTGGGCACGCACGCACACGTGCCCGGGGTGAGTTTAAGTCACTGGGTCCGGGACTCAAACCACAGTCGACTACATGGGAGTCCAGCGCCATAGCCATTACACTAACTGCTGGTCCCTTTTCCTCTATCCTCTTCCCGGGAATTTGAGCACACACACACGTGCCCAGTGTGATTTTCAAGCCACCAGGTCCAGGACTCGAACCACGGTCGACCACATGGGAGTCCAGTGCCACCACTAGGCCACCAGCTGTTCCCTGCGTCTGGTCTGCATCTGGTAAAACAGGAGCAGCCGGGACGCCTGAGCTGCGCCACTGAGTCACTTCTGGACTCGGGGCCGTACAGGGGAAAGGCAGGAACAGGGAGATCGATTAAATAAATGAGTAAGTAAAAGGGGACTAAAGAAACGGGACCAAATGTGGCACGGCAGAAACATAGCCCGACACTCCATGAGGCCGACCCACACGGGAAGGCTCTGGGTTCACATCGAGACACACACCAGGCACACGTGTGCTCACGAGCCCGGACCGCCTGGGGCTGGGAGCGGACTAGGGCATCTGGACCCTGCGGGGGTGCCTGTTCTTCGTTTCTTGCTCATAGATATAACCTAAATAACAAACTTTTTAAAAATAATTATTTGGGACCAGCAGATGGCGTAATGACTTACGTCACTGGACTCCCATATAGTCAACGGCAGTTCGAGTCCCGGACCTGGAGGCTTGAATTCACTCCAGGTGCGTGTGCATGCATGCCCAAGATCCCAAGAGGAGAATGGAGGAGAAGGGATTGCAGTGAAGCCATCTCCCCAGGGGATGATTTCTCACTTTCTGTCTCTGTCTCTCCAGTGAGCACACACACCCTACAGAGAAACTCTCTCTACAAAAATAGATTGTACAGAGTTCGAGGCTAAGGAATAAATCAAGCGTGCCATGCCAGGTAGGTATGTCTCAGGAACTGCCTCGGGCATCGATTTCCAGACATGGACAAATTTAGGAGAGGCAGCAGGTAAATTTTGGACTTTGCCAATTTTTCCTTTACTTGGGATTCTTTGCTCTTTCTGGTCAAGTTCCCATTAAAACCTCCTCTTCCGGCTAGAAAAAGCCTCAGCTCAGACTCCCGTGGTCTCTGGGTCCTACACAGTCTTGAGGCCCAAGCAGGGACCCGCCCCACCCCCGGGGAGAGCCCGGAGCTGTGTGAAGTTCTGACCTGGGCACAAAGACCACGTTGTGCAGGTAATCCTCAAACGTCTTCCGAAACGAGGACTCCTCCAGCTCCTTCAGGATCTGAGAGTCGGTCTTGGGGCAGGAGCAGCACTCGCCGGCCGAGTCCTCGTACTCGCTCTGATTGTGTTTCTGCGAATCCTCAGACTCGAACGGGGGCGACCATGTCCGGGAGGGCAGCTTCAACCCTACAGAGGCAGAGCAGGGGGCTCAGGTCTCCCGGTCAACTCTCGTGTGTAAATTAGAAATTATTACATTGGGATCAGCAGATGGCGTAATGGTTACGCTGCCGGACTCCCACGTACTTGACCTTGGTTCGAATCCCAGACCTAGCAGCTTAAAACTCACTCTGGGTGCGTGTGTGTGCATACCCAAGATCCAGAGAGGAGAATGGAGGAGAAGGAATTGCGGCGTGGCCATCCCCCCTGGGGGGTGATTTCTCGTTTTCTATCTCTCTGTCTCTGTCTTTCTGGAGAATGCACACACCCTATAGCAAAAACCTCTCCAAAAACAAAAACAGAACATGGGGCCAACAGGTGGCGTGGTGGTTAAGAGTGCTGGACTCCCACGTGACTGACCACAGTACCAGCCCCAGACCAGGCGACATGCTTTCTCACTCTCACTCTCTCTCGTCAAATTAAAATAAGTAAATAAAGTCAAATAAGATAATTCTCTAAAAAAAAAAACCTTTTTAAAGTTTTTGCCATTGGGCATGTGTGCTCACTGGAGAGAGAGAGAAAGAGACAGAGAAGAAAAGTAAGAAATCACCTCCCGGGGGTGGGGGGGAGGCCATGCTGCAACCCCTTCTTCGTTCTCCTCCTGGGATTCTGAGCTCACATGCACACACGCCTGGAGTGATTTTTAAGCCACCAGTTCCAGGACTCGAACCACAGTCGGCTATGTGGGAGTCCAGCACCTGAACCACCACTGCCCCTGCTGGCCCCACCGCTGGTCACTCTTCCAGAAGGCTATTGCTGATCACGGTCAGCACATTCATTCACTCTACGTGTGTGTTTTAAATTGCGGCGAGGCGGACACGTCGCGAAAGTCCCCGCCCTCCCCGTTTTGCACTGCACGGTTCAGGGGTTAAGCACATTCTCTGTGTCTCGTGACCACCCCCACCCAGCTCCAGAACGCTGTCACCTTACAGAACGGAAATTCTGTCCCCATGAAACACTCCCTCCTCAGCCCTCTGCCCCAGCTCCTGGCACCCCCCCATTCTACTTCCTGACTTTAAAAACCTGACTCTTCTAGGACCATCCATGAGTAGACTCATTTACCCTTAGTAAGTTTACTTTTTTTGAGCGAGAGAGAGAGATTTTTTGCTACAGGGTGCATGTGCTTACCAGAGAGACAGAAAGCGAGAAATCACCTCTCAGGGGCATGGCCACACCACAATCCCTTCTCCTCCCTCCTCCTCTCTGGATCTTGGGCATGCACGCACACACACCCGGCGTGAGTTTTAACCTGCCGGGGCCAGGACTCAAACCACAGATGACTATGTGGGAGTCCAGTGACATAGCCATTACGCCATCTGCTGGTCCCAGTACGCTTATTTTTAATTACATACGCTTTGTGATAAATACCAAGAAAACCATGTGCGAGCTCTTGGCACTGGTATGGGCGTTACAAATTTAGACTTGCAAAGTGGAAAAAAAAAAAAAAAAGGGGGCGAGAAAGAACAAGAGCAAGCTCTGGCTGGGGCTGCCAGTGGTTTGGGATTCTTGGAGGCAGGGCCCGCAGCTACGGGCCAGGCGACGCGCGGGGC